AGGGTGGAAAGTCCCAGCAAAGAACAATTGTAGGTGGGACCTCGACCCCCGGGTGACCTTTCCCCTCCCTAGCATAACGCGGGTCATGGGTGTGCACCCCTGACCTTCTGTCCCTACAGAGAACATCGGGGCCTCAGCTGTGTTTCAGCTCCAGGCCCAGAAAAGCAGCAAAACCGGACAAGTCACCCCACAGCTCACCCCAGGAGCAGCTGCACTGGGTGATGACCCCCCTGCCCTGTTGCCAACCAGTCAGTCAGTGGAGACCCCACCTGGACCCTGACCACACCTGGAAAGCTGAGCTCTTCCCCTGGGACCCCCCTAAAATCCCCCCTTCAAACCCTCAGGACAGAGGGCCCAGAGGGCTCCCTCCAGGAGCACCCCCCCCCCATCTCTCCCCTCCCCCAGCCGGTCAGCTTGGCCTCTCACTTCTCAGTGACAAGGGCGCCTGTCTCTGCCTCTGTAACCTGTGTCCAGAGCACATTTCTTCTACAGATGACCTTCCACCTCTGCGCTGTCGTCAGCAAATGTTCCCGCATAGTGTGAGTCCGGGCTCTGAATTCTTCCCTAGACAGACGCGAAGTACGCAGGTTGCTGAGCCCAGATGGGTCGGACCCCACCGGTCTATCCCCTGGGCCACCCCCCGCCTCCGAAGGGGCCCCGTCTCTGTGAAAGTGCGTAAGGGGCTCGGTGGTTAAACGTGAAGCAGCCTGCTCGACTGTCCGCCAGCGCCCTCCGATGTCTATCGTGACACTTTACCGTTTGCCGAAAAGTGTTACTGACTCCAGCTGAATCCATGTTTCAGTAGGCTTATTGGGGTTGAAGTGAAGTGATTGTTTATTTTTTTCTTTATTGATTTTAGAGAGAGGAAGGGAGAGGAAGAGAGAGACAGAAACATCGATGAGCGAGAACATCGACTGCCCGCCTCCTGCACGTCCCCCACGGGGGATCAGGCCCACCACCCAGGCATGTGCCCTGACTGGGAATCGAACCGGCGGCCTCTTGGTGCAGGGTCGATGCTCCACCACTGAGCCACACCGGCCAGGTTGATTTTTTAAAAATAAACTCTCTGGGGGCAGCTGAGTGAATCCACTGCAGACTGGGCTCTGGGGTTAGAGGAGGAAGCGGTGCAGGTGGCAGAGTTCCCGTGAAGAACTGTTAGGGTCACAGCGGAATCCAGGGGGAGTCAGAGTTCCTCCGTGCTTCCTGTCCCCACCCCGCACGCCCTCCAGCTCTGTGGACGTCTCCAGCCATCCGGGAACCTGCACTTTCTTTGACGCGATGAAGGTGGGAGGGGGTCCCACAGACGCCCTGCAGCCCAGGGAGCGGATGGCTCTGGCCCAAAGCCGCACCTGCGTTCCATTCACCTGTGACCTCCCTCCTTCCCCCCCCCCCCCCCGCGGCCTGTTGTCGCCTTGGGCCCTTCCTCCTCCTCGGCACGCCTGTCCCGTCCCAGCCCCCCTTCTGCACAACCCCGGCGCTAGCTGAATAAGCAACTCGCCTCCTAACCGCTTTGCATTGCTTAGATTGAATATTACTTATAATCAACCAGATGTTCTTAAAATAGTTTGTTGTTCCGTACGACTTGACATTCCCATTAGGGACACAAAGCCTGTTTTTTCGTTCATTGTGCATTGTGATTCTTTTAGCGAATTCCTGTTTCCAGTTTGCAGCCGCCGGTGCTCACCGGTCCTGCGCAGCCGTCCTGCGTGTCGGAAGGTCCGCGTTGGGCTTAGACAGTACCCACGCCTGGGGGTGGACCGCGTCCTATTGTGTCCGCGTGGGGTCGTGATTCTGCACCTCAGCGGTGTCTGCTGTCGAGGGGGGACCCTGACGTGGAGGTGCTGGGGGTTGGGGTCCGACCTGCCTCAAGGGAAGCTCACGGCCGGGGTGAGGGGCCGCGGACATGCCTGGTCAGTGGGAAGTCGCACTGTCCCGGGGTCAAGTGGACATCACGGCCCAGGAAGAAAGGAAGCCAGAGGTCAAGCCTTCAGCTTGTGCTAAGAGGTCATGACTTGGCGGAGGCTGTAAACAGGAAAAGGGACCGAGCTGGGGGCTGGGAGCCAGAATCCTCCGGGAAGGACAGCCCCAGAGGACCTGCTCGGAGGTGCAGCCGTGGTGGGGGGTGGGCGTCACGGGCCCCAGGTGGAGGGTGAGCCCCAGGTCTGCCCTCTGAAATGCATCGTGGACAATGTCCAGTCTGGGCCCCACCACACAGCAGAGGGTGAAGCCAGAGGTTTCCGGAGACCTCGTGCGTTTCTTCCAGGGATGGTGACCACCCGTCTGAACGTCCTCAACCCTGAGTCCATCGTAGAGTCCTCTGCTCAACCCTGGCCTCCTCCTTTCGGTCCGTGTCCCTGAGTGTCCAGGTCCTTCATCCCAACACGGAGCAATGACGGGCATTTTCCAAGCAGGTGGTCGGTCCCAGGGATTTTACATATATTCTCACTCTCAGCCACAAGCGTACACGGCGGGTGACGATGTGTGTGGTTTTATAGAAGAAACTGAAGTTCGTAGAGGTCACGTAATTCTCCAAAATCTCACCTCCAGTGGCCGAACAAGAGTTTCAGATCAGGTCTGTTCACGAAACGCTGACCCCGGGCCTTGTCAACGCAGTGGTCACCCAGCTCTCGGACAGGGAGCCAGTGCGCGGCTGCTGCCCCCTGGGGGACACTTCCCGTCCTGAGCGATCTCTGATGCCAGCCGAAGCCGCGTGGGCGCCGGCGGGTGCCCTCCTAGGGCTGGCAACTGTCAAAGGGGACTGTCACTCACGTACATTATATCATGGTCCCCCCATGTTTCAAAACCAAGACAATAAACGAGCCATCATTGTCGCTGCACACACTGAGGCATAAGAGAAGCTTCTTTAAACAGATCATGAAGGATTAAAACAGAAAAAAAGATGCAGAGAAATATAAAGGAGAAACGCCTCTCAGCGTGGGCGCCCGGGTCCAGACCCCTGTGGGCATTTAGAATAATAATAGGCAGAAGAACAGAGTCGGGGTGTGGAGAAATGTTCCAAACGGGATGAATTCAGGGAGAAGAGAAGTCGTGACTCTGGGACCCTCGGCACCCCCAGCCCGGCGCCTGCCGCTCTGCTCCGGGGAAAGGTGTGGCCCCCGCTCTCCTGCCCTGACGTCCACTCCTGCTTGCCTGCGTGAGGTGCAGCCTCCTGTGAAGACTCAAGCCCGGTCTCCCCCGGAAGCTTGTCCATCTGACTCCGCCCAGGTCGCCCTCCTCTCTGCCCCGTGCCCCGGGCGCCGATCTCGCCCAGACTCACATACTCTGCCTGGTGTGATCGCTTCACTTTTTGTTTGGCCACGGGTGTTGGTGAAGCGAAGCTGGAGCCCAGGGCGGGGACTCTGTCCATCCCTGAGTCCTTCCAACATCCCGGAGCCGTGCCGAGCACGTCTGGTCATGGCTGGTGTCTTGTTTTCTCTTCTGCCCCTGGGCTGTGTGTTTGGCCTTGTGTCCACCACCCTGCGCTGTAGGCGTGAAGTCGGCTGAGGCAAGTCCTCCGCTCATGGCCTCGCGAACCGGCTGAGAACGCGGGCGTGTCCGCATCGGGTCATGCTGCTCCTCAGGTCGGAGAGCGAGGTTAGGTGGGAAGGACATGTCACCACCTCCATCCGTTTGGACCCTGAGGTGTTGACAAGCATGCAGAGATCAGATGGCCAGGGGTTTTCTCGGGAGCTGTAACCGACTCACCCAGCTCTGAGCGTGGGGCACGGGGTGCTGCTGTCATAAAGCACCTACGTACCTGTGGCAGGTGCCTGGTCAGTGTCCCAAGGCTTAGACCGAGGCCTGAGGGTCAGAGTGAGGATTTGATCTCTAGCTGCCAGAGCGTGTTCCTTCAGTCATCAGACAGTTCCTGAGAGACCCCTGGCTCAGACCCGGGCTGAGAACGGGAGACGTACCCCTCCGTGACCCCGAGCAGCGTGCAGTGGGAATCGGTGTGATCAAAGCAGCCGCTGAGAATCCGTGCTCTCGGGGAGCACAGGCGTGGTGGGCAGGGAGCGGGGCTGAGCCTGCCGTCGGCTGGGGTGGTGATCGCCGGCACCGAGGGACGGGCGTGTCTGAGGTTCACCGCGCCCCCGAGGGGGCGATCCGCGGGGCCTGACCTTCCTGAGGCTGTGCTCCGGGACTGCCGGGGCGCAGGAGGCCGCGTGCGGGCTGTCCCTGCAGGGGCGGGGACACAGGGCGGTGCAGTGGAAGCCGGCGTGGGCAGGGACCAGCTCGACTTCATCGGTGACTATTTTAACAAAACTTCTGTTCCGCGGCGGCTAAGGTTTTGCCCTCCTGGGCTGGGTGCTTGGTGGGTGCGTCTTACTCGTCGGCCTTCAGAAGGATGGACAGAAGAGCAGGATGGGCTTCGGCCGTTTGGAGGTTGGACTTGAACGTCACCATCAGTGTGGCAGGGTATCACCCACATCCCCAAACCAGGGGCTTGTGGCTAAAACTTCTCAGGGGACCCCAGTGAGCCCCTGAAACCGCAGGCCGCCAGCGCTCACTGCCTGGGGCCCCCATGGCTGCCAGGAGGCCTGGTCCCTGCCCCCGCTCTGGTGGAGGGTCCGAGCCGGTCTTCTCTCGTTTCAGACGGATCGGCCATGACCACGGCGTGGTACCGGCCCACGTGGGACCTGGCCCTGGACCCGCTGGTGTCCTGCAAGCTGTGTCTGGGGGAGTATCCGGTCGAGCAGATGACCACGCTCGCCCAGTGCCGCTGCGTCTTCTGCACTCTGGTGGGTGCTCGGAGGACACGTCCCTGGGAAAGGAGTTCGGGATGAGCGGGCCCCTTCCTTCTGGGCTGTCCCTGCTCGCCGGAGGAATTCGCTGGAATTCCATCCGGGTTTGCCGGGCGCGGGAGCCGGCAGCAAACGGTCCGTCTCCGAGCCAGCGGCGCATCTAGAAAAGCTGGTGACCCGTGTTCTCCCGCAGCTGAGGTGTCCCTGCGGGAGGACACTCCGGGCTCCCCTCGGGGCGCCAGGCTGGGTTAGCACCTGCCGGGCCTCGCTGTCTGGGGAAGCTGGCCGGCTCCCCCCTTGGCGACTCCGTCTTCACATCTGACAGACGGGAGGCTCACAGTGTTCCCCTGAGACTGTTGCCAGGCGGTCACGAAGCAAGAGGTGCCAATGGGCAGCTGCGCAGGGTGAACCCCACCTTCCCTCCCCACCTGTCCCCTTGCTGGTAGACTTACTGGCCTCGTGTCTGCTGGGGCGGAGAGTGGGGACTGCCTGGCACCAGCACGTGGCCCCTGGCTCCTAGGGGGCACCCCATAAATATCTGGTGAGTGAACAGAGCCTCTAATTTGGTGGTAGCCCCGGGCAACACGGCAAACAGTGTGGATGGGTCTCTGTCTCCTGTCTCGTGGGCCTTCAGCCCGGAGGAAGTGAGATGCTCACAGGTCCTTCTGCTTCCTCTTTCAGTGCCTGAAACAGTACGTGGAGCTCTTGATCAAGGAAGGGTTAGAAACCACGATCAGCTGCCCGGACGCCGCCTGCCCCAAGCAGGGCCGCCTGCAGGAACACGAGGCACGTGCCCCGCGCCGGCCGACGCAGCGGGGGGCTCTGGTGCGGTGACCTGCCCTGGTGCTGGCCTCGGCCTCTCACTGTCCTTGTTGGTGTTTCCTCCTCAGATCGAGTGCATGGTTGCAGCTGAGATGATGCAGAGATATAAGAAGCTGCAGTTCGAGAGAGGTAGGTGCCCCGGCCCAGGAGCCGGCTCCGATGGCAGAACCCGGGGAACTTGCGGGAGTGTTTTCGGTAGCTGGGATGGGGCGTCATTTGGCTACAACGGAGCAGGGGAAACGGTCATTGTGGAACTCATTCTGAGTTCTCCAGGGAGGCAGGGCCGGCCTCTGCTGGGGTCAGTGTGGTCGCAGGAAGGACCGTGAAGCAGCCGGTTATCGGGGTGTGGGCTCCTGGGGTTAGAGAGGTCACCCTCCTGGAGCATCATTCTCAGCCAGGTTAAGTCCCCACAGCTTGAAGGCTGCACACAGACAGGCACTGACTTGAAGAGACACAGGGTGTGGCCGGAAGGCCTGAGGCTAATCACCGGAGCAGGGCGACGCCATCCAGACTCCCGAGTGTGACCTTCCCGCTCCCTGTCCAGCTCCCGCAGGCCCGGTCTCCCAGGTGCCGTGTCTTATCTCCATACGTTTACAGCGCCCTTCCAGGCTGACCTGCTGCTAAAACAGCACCCCCGGAGGCCGGTTGACTCACCTGATTCCCATCTTAGGGGGTGATGGGGTAGGATGTGGACCAGACCCCTGTCCCAGTGCCCTGCACAGCCCTCCGGGCTGGCGTGACGTGGGAGGGGAATTGATAACACGTTGCTGCTGTTGTTCATTCTCACCCCGGGATATTTTGTTTCACTAATTCTTTCAGCCACACTGATAACAGCATATCTGAGATGCAATTCACAGCCCTACGGCCTCGGAATGTCAGGGCAGGTCTTCCTCTGCCCTCTGACGGCAGCGGCGGCTCCGCACGTTATGTCTTGACGAGTCCGTGGCTTCCCTTTGGCCCCGTTTCCGTGTGTGTTTTCTGGCCCTGGGGCTCACTGCAGGAGGGCGGGGTGACTGACGCGTGTGGGTGACGCGCCTTATGCAGCACGGGGTTGTGGACGTGGCCGATTCCAACATTTCCCTCTCCGTGTGTCACGACACTCTGCACTCCCACCTGGACAGGCTTGGAGGTGCTTGTCTGCACTGGGGCGCTCCGGAGACCCAGCCCCCGGCTCTGGCTCTCGGGGACACTGCAGATGGGGTTGCCTTCAGACCAGACCGGAGCTCGGGATCCGCCTCCTGCTTAGCTGGATGTGGAACGGTCTCGCGTGTGTGTGTGTGTGTGTGTGTGTGTGTGTGTGTGTGTGTTTGAGAAATATTAAAGATATTTCCTCTTGATTACTCTTCAAGGAAAAATAAAGGGGGATGTGTGGCCAACTTAAAAACACAAAGAAGAGTGTTTTTGATAGCACTGCAGTTTCTTTTCAAGAGCTTGTTTATTTAAACGGCAGCTGCCACTTGGTTTTGGCAGTTTGTGATGTAAATGTAATACACGTGATACCCTGGCCAGCGTGGGGAGCCGCCACAGGGACCGAGTCGGATTTCTGAGACGTTCAAGCTCTTCTGAAAACGCTTTCCAAAGAGAAGCGAGACAGAACTTGGCGGTTACGTGGGTTCTAAGAAAATGAACTTTCTGTGACACTGAGTTTAATTAAAAAATGCAGCTGGGTCAAGGTGGCTCCCTGCTCACGTCAGCTGTTATTTCTCTAGCGCTTGGACTTCGTCAAAGAGGTTTTGTTCCTTTTGCATCGGAAAGAAAGCAGTTTGACTTAGGTTAGAAAAACGCACCTGTCAACCCGGTGACTTTACAGCGCTCTGCTCACGTTGTGTGAAAAGCCAAAGTAAACGGACTCAGGCCCACTCGGGCTCAGGACCTGTCTGCAGGAAACGTTCCCACGTTAGACTAAGATGCAGCCATTGATCCCGGCTCGTCGCCAGGCAGGGTTGGAGATGTGACCGGAAAGCGCACTGCGACTGACCTGTTCTGTTTCTTTGCAATGTGGTCCGCGGAGGACTCAGGCAGCTGCACGATTTTCAGAAAACATCTCCCCAAGTAGCCCGTGGAAGTCCAGGCGCCCGTTCTAGATGGTTCTAGAACACCTCGTCTGATAGCAACGCCTTGATTTGAATGGAAACCTCTCCACTCACAACGCCGGGGTTCTGAGCGAGCAGGAAGCCAGGCAAGGGTGTGAGGGACTTTCTTCTTCCCGGGCACCTCCTTGCCCAACCGGAGGACCAAACACAGGAGGAGACAGCCTGTGGGGGGCGAGGTCCGTCACCCTCTCTGGGAGCCCATGGTGCACCCCTGCGCCTGTTGGAGCGCAGACCATGCCACGTGGCAGGTGCTCTTATCTGTGCCTGTCTCTCCAGAAACTCTCAGTCCCCAGAGACAGCCCGAAGCCCCCGGGGTGCCTCCCCCGGCTGGCAGCGCCTGTGCGAGGCTGACGCCAGCTGGGTGTTGTTCGTTTTAAGGGACAGGGAAGCTGGAGAGATGGAGTATTTCTTCAGGCTACCTGTTCAGTGCTCAGGCCTGGCCCGAAGCAGGGATGCCGGACGGGACCTGCAGCACCAGGCTGGTGACAGTCATACCCGCCTGAGGGGGCGCTAGCGCGTGCCCTTCACTGCTCGCTTCTCAAGGGAGAACCGTGCTTTAGGAAGAGAGGCACCTTTTCTACATGTCTTAGGATTTATATGAGAGGTTTGGGAGCCTGCTGCATCCACCAGTAGTCACATGTCCCTGGGAACCGCTGGCCTTGATTGAAAGCACAGTGTATACATTGTGTCTGTACGCATATTGGATCTGTTCCCATGCGTACATGGGGGGAATGCGCGCATGTCTGCCATTAGGTGTGCAGGGGACAGGCAGATGTGGACCGTGAGCACGGCCAGGTGGGCGGCAGCAGGTTACGGCTGAGTGTGACACCCCTAGTCGTGTGTTACCCGTTGTTACCGTCTTCAGTTCCACACAGACAGCTGTGACCCTGCCTCTGCCTCCCTGCACACGTTCTGAAGGAAGCTCTCTGGTGTTGCCCAGCGTGGACTTTCTGGGGGACCTGTACCCCCAGCTGGCAGAATCAGCAGAGGGGGTGGTGACGGAGACTTTGCTGGGAGTCGGGGGAAGCCAGGGGAAGCCGGGGCTTTGGGCACAGGGCTCCCTGTGCCCTGGTGTCTGTCTATTGGGGTGCACAGTGTTTGCCCCCCACCTCTCCGGTGGGGAATGTCTCCCGTGGGACAGACGGCACCGTGCGCGGCTCCACAGGACAGAAGTCACAACAGTTAAGTCGTTACCATGGAAACCTTCACCCGGCGTCCTCTGCCCTGCCCTCGGGGATGTGCCTGGGCCTCTCGTGAGAAGGCATCTTGACAGCTGCATTTTCCGTGCGCAAGGAGACGCGGCCTTGGGGGCCGAAGAGAGACCACACGGCTTAGGAACATGACCCTTTCCTGAGGTCACAGGCGCCTCCGAGCAAAAGGTCAGGCTGGAGAGCAGTGGACACGGGGTCTGGCCTGGGCAGCGCTGTCCCTTTGGGCTCCCAAGGAGACCAGCACTGAGCTCCGTGTCAAGTTGGAATTCACGCAGCACCCACAGCCTGCTGGGCCCTCCTGGAGGTGTGCACCTGGGACCCCGTGGGCCCGCTGGGCACAGCTGGGCTCACGCAGCACCCACAGTCTGCAGGGCCCTCCTGGGGGTGTGCACCTGGGACCCCGTGGGCCCGCTGGGCACAGCTGGGCTCACGCAGCACCCACAGCCTGCAGGGCCCTCCTGGGGGTGTGCACCTGGGACCCCGTGGGCCCGCTGGGCACAGCTGGGCTCACGCAGCACCCACAGCCTGCAGGGCCCTCCTGGGGGTGTGCACCTGGGACCCCGTGGGCCCGCTGGGCACAGCTGGGCTCACGCAGCACCCACAGCCTGCTGGGCCCTCCTGGGGGTGTGCACCTGGGACCCTGTGGGCCTGCTGGGCAGAGCTGAGCTCACGCAGCACCCACAGCCTGCTGGGCCCTCCTGGGGGTGTGCACCTAGGGGACCCCGTGGGCCCGCTGGGCAGAGCTGAGCTCACGCAGCACCCACAGCCTGCTGGGCCCTCCTGGGGGTGTGCACCTAGGGGACCCCGTGGGCCTGCTGGGCAGAGCTGGGCTCACGCAGCACCCACAGCCTGCTGGGCCCTCCTGGGCGTGTGCACCTAGGGGACCCCGTGGGCCCGCTGGGCACAGCTGGGCTCACACAGCACCCACAGCCTGCAGGGCCCTCCTGGGGGTGTGCACCTGGGACCCCGTGGGCCCGCTGGGCAGAGCTGGGCTCACGCAGCACCCACAGCCTGCTGGGCCCTCCTGGGGGTGTGCACCTGGGACCCCGTGGGCCCGCTGGGCAGAGCTGGGCTCACGCAGCACCCACAGCCTGCAGGGCCCTCCTGGGGGTGTGCACCTGGGACCCCGTGGGCCCGCTGGGCAGAGCTGGGCTCACGCAGCACCCACAGCCTGCAGGGCCCTCCTGGGGGTGTGCACCTAGGGGACCCCGTGGGCCTGCTGGCAGAGCTGGGCTCACGCAGCACCCACAGCCTGCAGGGCCCTCCTGGGGGTGTGCACCTAGGGGACCCCGTGGGCCTGCTGGGCAGAGCTGGGCTCACGCAGCACCCACAGCCTGCTGGGCCTTCCTGGGCGTGTGCACCTAGGGGACCCCGTGGGCCTGCTGGGCAGAGCTGGGCTCACGCAGCACCCACAGCCTGCTGGGCCCTCCTGGGCGTGTGCACCTAGGGGACCCCGTGGGCCCGCTGGGCAGAGCTGGGCTCACGCAGCACCCACAGCCTGCTGGGCCCTCCTGGGCGTGTGCACCTAGGGGACCCCGTGGGCCCGCTGGGCAGAGCTGGGCTCACGCAGCACCCACAGCCTGCTGGGCCCTCCTGGGCGTGTGCACCTAGGGGACCCCGTGGGCCCGCTGGGCAGAGCTGGGCTCACACAGCACCCACAGCCTGCTGGGCCCTCCTGGGCGTGTGCACCTAGGGGACCCCGTGGGCCCGCTGGGCACAGCTGGGCTCACGCAGCACCCACAGCCTGCAGGGCCCTCCTGGGCGTGTGCACCTAGGGGACCCCGTGGGCCCGCTGGGCAGAGCTGGCTCACACACCACACACCGCAGGGAAGGAGGGCAGGTGCCAGGTGCTCTGTGGGACTAACTCCTGAGGGGGCTGGGGGCATCTCCCCTGCACCAGACCCTTCCCACACTCCCAGCAGCACCCAGCACCCAGCCGAGCATCCCTCCCTCCTGTCGCCGGTCCCTCAGTGCAGGCCAGCGGGCAGCGGCCCCGCACCCTGTTCCGGAGGCAGAGGCTGACCCCGTTCCCCACAAAGCCACCTCCTCGGATCTGACAGCCGGAGCCACTCCTAGGAAAGAGCTGAAACCGAGGACAAACAGTGAGCTGCGTTCACTCACCCCCTCGCTGTGGGGCGTCCCGACCTGGCATGGTCACGACGGAGGCCGCTGGGAGAGGAGTCGGTCCCCTGAACTCCAGGTGTCCTCAGAGGATCGAGTTCTAATCCTGCCCAGGCCTGCCGCTCTGACGGTGTGACGCTGCGGATTAATTCGCTTTAATAAAAGGCGGAGCAGGGAGTCAGATTAGACCGGAGTCGGCCAGCCGGCCCCGGCCCGTGCTGCCGGTCAGCTGTTACCGGGACACCCGTGGACCATCTCCACGCTGGCTCTGCCCCAGCAGTGAGCCGGCGGAGGACGGAGCCGGTGTGGATTCTCACCACGTGCCCTTCCCAGAGAAGTTCCAGCCCTGGAGTGGACGACCAGTGTCCGAAGCTCGTGCTCAGAAGGCTGGAGCTGGCCCCCCATTTCACTGGGCAGCGTGGCGCACACGCATGTCCCGTGGCAGCCGGCGAGCTGTGGCCACGTCCAGCCCCTGCCTGTGCCGACCACAGCGAGGGCAGATCCTGGCCCCGCTGGCTGTCGGGGTCACACGGCCCCTTGGCCTGCACACGGTCATTGCTCTCCGAGTTCCCCGCCGGGTCCCGCCGCCTCCCATCACTTCCCAAGGGCAGCCTGCCGGAGCCTAGGACGCCCTGGCCACTGGCTGGCCTCGGAAGGCAGCCCTGGGATGCTTCGGCCAGTCACCAGCCTCCCGGGTTCCCTGTGGGGCTGAACGGAGAATTCGGGGTCCCCCCAGGCAAGGGGGAAGGAAACGCACAACCTGGCTGATGGAGGGGGTGGGCAGCTCCAGCCCGTTGGGGAAACCCGAGTTCTGAGCAGGGATGTGAAGACACGGCAGTGTCGGGGTGTCCTGTGTCCTAAACTCACTTTCTGTATTTCATTCAGCCCGGATGGAGGGCCTGGCCATGCACCCCGTGGGGAGCTCAGGGCCTAGCTTCAAGTCTGGGAGGGAGACAGTCTCAGGCAGATGAGCAGTGGGTGAGAAGTCGCCCCGCCCCCGCTGACCGCCTCAGACCGGCGCCTGAGGGTCTGCTGAGGGTCTGCGGCATGTCTTGCTGGGGCCCAAAGCACAGGCTCCACTCAGAAAGCCGGGCCCTGGGGGCACATGGCCAGGCGGTGCCCGGACCACCGTGTGCGGGCTCTCGGGGGTCAATCGGGCCGCCGGGGAATTTGGACGGGGATGGGGGGGACTCCTGGACAGGAGGAGACGCCGGGGGCACTGCTGTGTTGACGACACTCCTCGCGGTTGCAAATGTGAAGCGCTGGGCTGAGGCCCCGACGTCTCTCGTCTGCAGACTGTGACCTGTCCCTCTTGTCCCTCTTGTCCCCTGTGCAGAGGTGCTCCTGGACCCCTGCCGGACCTGGTGCCCGGTGTCCACCTGCCAGGCCGTGTGTCAGCTCCAGGAGCGGGGGCTGCAGACGCCTCAGCTGGTGCAGTGCCGAGCCTGCGCCACGGAGTTCTGCTCCGCCTGCAAAGCCGGCTGGCACCCCGGCCAGGGCTGCCCAGAGACCATGCCCGTCACCTTCCTTCCCGGGGACACCAGGTAGGCTCTGCCACAGGGGCTCGGCTGAGGGTGAGGGGGCGGGGTGGGGCGCGGGGCTCCGGATCGCCCCTCCTCTTGAGTCGCCCACACCTGGGTTGGTTGGTTGGTTGATTTCCGTTTCTGAGATCTGATGATGGGCAGGCCCTGCCCAGGCCCTGGGAGCACGCAGTGCCGCCCTCGGCCTGTCCAGGACACGTGTGCGTGGTGAGCTCCCGTGGCGGGCTCCACGTCCCGATGTTTCCCGAGACTCCACTTTTGAAGGGGACCTGAAATGGGGCACCGGAGGGGGACGGAGGCCGTGGCATTGGTTCTAAACACCAGAAGGACCCCAGCAGCAGGCTGAGGCTGTCGGGAGAGATGGTCTCAGTGCTGCCCCCGGCCCCCCTGTCCCCCCGGCCCCCCCGTCCCTCCTGTCCCCCCCGGCCCTCCTGTCCCCCTGGTCTCCCTGTCCCCCTTGTCCCCCCTGTCCCTCCTGTCCCCCCTGTCCCCCCTCTCCCCCATCCCCCCTGTCCCCCTGACCCCCCTCTCCCCCCGTCCCCCCTGGCCCCCCGGCCTCCCTGTCTCTCCTGTCCCCCCCAACCCCCCGGCCCTCCTGGCCCCCCTGGCCCCCCTGCCCCCCTGTCCCCCTGGCTCCTCAGCTGGGAGCCCAGGCAGACGCTGGCACCATTCAGGAGGTTGAGCCATGAGAAATCGATATTATCCAGCTTCTATTTTTTGTCCTAAAATCTGCAGTCACATGGTTCGATCAGAGTTGGCCCTGTACCTGTGGGCTCCACCTTTCTCATAGACAGACTCCCGCTGGGCACCCCTAGGTGTGGTCGCGAGCTGCGACCCCGTTTTCCTCTCTCCCCGCCCTGCTGTCGCCACCCCGACTCCCCATGGCTGGACCTGCACAGGGACCCTCTGGATACCTGGGACATGTCCCTTCTGTGCCCGTCTCTGCCCTTCCTATTCCTGGGCCCGCTTCTCGCCCTCGAAGACTGACTTACATCCCCTCCTTGGTTCGGCTTCCCAGTCCCCAGGCAGGGCTGGTGGCCCGTCCTCTGTGTCCCCGCTGGGAGATGGCTGGCGTTGATGTGAGCACCAGCGATATTGTGTCTCAGGTCCCTGTGCACACGGCGGATTCTTCCTGGCCTGAGGCCTGCGTGGGTTTGAACTCTGTGACCCCAGAGCCTGGCACCAGCGGGCACACGCCCCTTCCGCTTTGCACAGTCCTCCTGTCCCCCTGCCCGGAGGCTTGCTGTCGGGCGCCATCTGCGTGCCGAGAGCCGGTGAGCCGGTCTCCTGGAATAGAGGCGGCTTTCCCAAAGCGCAATCCGCCCCCGCCCGGCGTCCCTAGCAGCCTGGCCAGCTGTGCCCACCGCCTGCTCTCTGACTTAGATGTCAGCGCACGTGGGTCGATGGAGCTGCCCAAGCTGCTCTCTATGCGAGTTGATGGTGGTGGTAATGGGCAGTGTGACCCTAGGGCCGGGGACGCTCGACACCGTAGTTGAGGTCAGGGCGGTGTCGGTGCCCCCGAGGTGCCAGGTCTCACGCTCTGGAACCTCCTGTTTGCCCAGGTCTCCTGGGAGATGCCCCCCACTGGCCGTGCCTCTGTTCGTGGCCTCTCCTGCGAAAGCGCCTGAGTCCCAGGAGACCGCGGGTTCCCCTCTTCACGCTCAGCCTCACGCTCTGACCCGGCGGTCAGCCCTGCGCACTGGGCCTGACCCGGTGGCCTGAGTCTCTGCGGGAACCAGCTGGACGTCAGGAGGCCACAGCGAGCGCGGTGCGCCGGGCGCCATCTTCCAACATTAGCAGGGCGTGGACCTCGTTCCGTCGCCACACCTGACTTTCTGTGACCTTCTCCTTAGCAGCAGAGGTTGCTGCCATTTACCAGCCACCTCATGCGCACCCCATGCACACCCCACACACCTCATGCACACCCCACACACCTCACGCACACCCTACACATACCCCATACACACACCACGCACCTCATGCGCACCCTATGCACGTCCCCCACACACCCCATGCACACCCCACACACCTCACGCGCACCCTACACATACCCCATACACACACCACGCACACCCTATTTACACCCGCCACCCCCCCACACACCTCACGCACACCCCATGCACGTCCCACACACACCCCATGCACACCCCACACACCTCACGCGCACCCTACACATACCCCACACACACACCACGCACACACTATGCACACACCCCACATACCTCACGCACACCCCACACACCTCACGCACACCCTACACATACCCCATACACACACCACGCACCTCATGCACACCCCATGCACGTCCCACACACACCCCATGCACACCCCACACACCTCACGCACACCCTACACATACCCCATACACACCCCACGCACACCCCATGCACACCCCACACACACCCCACATACCTCACGCACACCCTATGTACACCCCATGCGCACCCCCACACCCCACACATACCCTATGCACACCCCACACACACCCCACGCACACCCCACACACCTCACGCACACCTGTGGCCACGCCCTGTGCTGTTCGGAAGTGACTTCTTCAGGTGGCTCTGAGGAGGGGACAGGCTCGGCGCGGTGGTTACACGTGGAGATTGTGGACCTGCCGGCACCTGAGCCCAGGCTGGCAGCCAGCCGTCAGGCCAACCCTGCCAGGTTCACCCTGCCAGGCAGCCCTCTTCCCAGGAAGGCAGGTCAGGAAAGACACCAGGGAGCTCTGACCAAGGAGACAGGGCGGGTTTCTAACATCTGTTCTTCCTGAAAGTGGTAAAGTGCACAAACATGATCAACCCTTTGGAAAGGGCACCCATACATGAATCAGGACATGCGGTGACCCCAGCCCCACGACGCAGACACCTCCATTCTGAGCCTCTCACCTGGTCTTCAGCTTGTCTGTGCCGACATCTAAATTTAGAGTGTGCTAATGGTGCTGTTTTCGCCAGAACTGAACCAGCCGACTCACAGATCTCGGGCGATTGTTTTCCACAGTTTTTGTTTCTTTGGTTTCGTTTCATCTCGTGTGCTACCGAGCACCCTGGGTCCCTCCAGGGCAGCCGTGCTCCCAGCACAGGCCTCGGTCCTGGGTCCTGTGGGCCGGGCCCTGACGGCCTTCTCCCCGCAGTTCGGCCTTCAGACTGGAGGAGGACGACGCGCCCATCAAACGCTGCCCCAGGTGCAAGGTGTACATCGAGCGAGACGAAGGCTGTGCCCAGATGATGTGTAAGAACTGCAAGCACGCCTTCTGCTGGTACTGCCTCGAGTCCCTGGACGTGAGTGCCGCCGCGGCCTTGGGGTGCAGGCTCGTGGGGGTCAGGAGCCCGAGAGGGTTCCCCGGGACCTTATGTCTGTGTCTCCACGTGTGTATAGATGTAGGGTGTCCCCCAAAATATGTACACAGTTTGAACGATTATAAAGTCAGTGTTTATTAGCGTAAGGTTCGTCTGCAAATTTAAAAGCACCTTCGGAAATGAATCATCGTGCTTGTCAACACCTGCTTTCGGCCGGCTGTGCGCTCTGGCCCGAGCGGCCGACAGCGCGAGCAGCGACCTTTCTGTCCCGTCCGGCTCAGTGCCTCCGCTGGCGCCGGTCCCGCACCGTCACCTTTGTCTTTTACGTGTCCCACAAAGAAGCCTCCTGGACACGTTTTCTTTGTTCAAAGCTTAGTCTGGCCTCACCCATTATTTCAAATCAGTTCCACCTGAAAAGGAGTGAAAATTAAGTGAGTTCTCAGTTGTTCAAGTGTGTTGTATTTTTGGGACACCCTCTGTGTGTGTGTGTGTGTGTGTAAGTATATGTATATATGTGTGTGTACACATGCATTATGTATATGTGTATATGCATGCATGCATGTATATATGTGCATGTGGCCGTGTATATATGTATGTATATATGTACATATATGTGTACGCGTGTATGTGCATATGCATGTATATATGCATGTGTGCACGTGTATATGTATATATGTACATGTGTGTATGTACATGTGTATATATGTATATGCGTATCTGTATAAATGCTTGTATATGTGTATATATGTATACAGTGTCTCTATGTATTACCCCTGATGTATATATACATAATGTGGCACTTTCCTGTATTCTGATGGTTTTTAGAACCTGACCACTAAATTACGTCCTGTGTGACATCAGGCCAGTAATTCGCTGCCCCCGCCCCTTCCACTTCCTCCTGCGGGGGCGGGGGTGAAATGCCAGTTTACCAGAGGCCGTCCAGTGTCCTTGGAGACACTTTGGAGGAGTGTGGGAAGTGGACTGGGGGCAAGTTTGATTTCCAGGGCCACCGCTGCCCACTGCAGGGTCCCCCACCCCGGTGGAGTCACAGTCTCGGAGGCCAGTCCGCTCTGCTCTGGTGTCTGGGGTGCCCTCTGTGTCCGAGCCAGCTCCAATCGGTTCCACGGGGAACGTGATGAAACTTCTCTGAACAACAGTAAGGGGAAGGGTCCCTGGCAGGTCCTGGGCTGTTAGGCCCCCAGCGTGCTATTTATTGAGCTGTTTCTTTTTGTGGATGCTAGGGAGAGAAACGGCACCTCCCATCCATGGAGGGGTGGAGGGGTGGTCCCAGGAAGCCCATCTCTCACTCAGTCAGCGTTGTTGAGGTTTGGGCCAAGCACTGGACCCAGAACCTAGCTGAGCAGATTGGCTGGAGGTCATGGGAAGGTGATGGGTGGTCAAGGAGGGCGGCGGGAGCATCCGGAAGAGACGGGACAGGCTGTCACCCTGCGAGTCAGAGGGAGCTACTGCCCACGTGTGGACAGTCAGAGAAACCGCAGGGGCTGGTTCCCAGCTGGCCCTGGTGATGAGACCGAGCTGGCGGTCTGAGCAGACAGGAGCACGTTCCATGGGCCTGGCCTGCACGGACGCAGGAGGCTGGCCAGGGAGGAGGGACACCTTCCCCTCCAGGAACAGTCTTTCCTGCACGAGAGGAAGACGCCAAGACAGAGGGACAGGAGGACGGAGCTCAGCCGCAGCCAAGAGCTGAGCTGTGGATCGACTTGATCCGAACCCTGCATCGCGCGATTCTCGTCCCTTCAAGTTCTAGAGTGCCACTGAGCCCAGGGCCGCCGTCCTCGGGGGAGGCTGAAATCCGGGCGGTGGCCTGGAGGGGCGGGAGTCCGGGGGCGGGGCCGTGCTGGAGCTCGGGTCTCACTGGCTGTCTTCTCGTCCCCATTGGCTTTGGGCATAAAGAAGGGAGGGCCCAGGACTCAGCACTGACCCGACCGACCCTGCTGTCCTCCCCCCAGGACGACTTCCTCCTCATCCACTATGACAAAGGACCCTGCAGGAACAAGCTGGGCCACTCCCGAGCCTCTGTGATCTGGCATCGGACGCAGGTAGAGGCTTGGATCTTGGAAAGAGAGCGTGTATGCGTGTGAGTGTGAGTGTGTGTGCCCGGTGTGCACAGTGGTTTCTGAAGACTTGCCCGTTGGTTGAAGGTCAGCTCTTTCGAAAGCAGCTGGTGCGTGGGGTTCCTGGTCTAAGGGGATGCTCAGGGCACCCCGGCCCAGGCTGGAGCCCCGGGGAACGTGAACATGGACTGCAGAGGACTCGCTCTTCCTTGTGGTCTCGGTCATGCTTCACCAGGTCCTGGCGTAGCCCTTGATGAGGGAAGTGAGTCCGTCTCAGAACAGACCGAGTCCCAGTGAAGCCTTGTCCGCGGTCTGTGGAGGTTACAGAGGGCCTGTGGTCGATGCTCATGCATCCTTTCAACGCACCTTCATTCCTGCTGTGTACCTGGCCCTGTTCTCTCGGGGAGCCCACATCCCATCTCGGGCCAGAGAGTGAACAGCAACGTGTGCATAACTGGACCCGCTCTGGGCGTGGTGTGACTGGGAGGCTCTTTCAGACTGTGCCCAGGAAGGCCCAGGGCAGAGCACTGAGAGGAGCTGGCTGTGCTGGTGTGGGGACAGGGAGAGGGACAGACAGGCAGAGGGACAGACAAGCAGAGGGACAGACAGGCAGAGGGACAGACAAGCAGAGGGACAGACAGGCAGAGGGACAGACAGGAAGAGGGACAGACAAGCAGAGGGACAGACAAGCAGAGGGACAGACAAGCAGAGGGGAGTCAAGCAGAGGGACAGACAGGCAGAGGGACAGACAAGCAGAGGGACAGACAGGCAGAGGGACAGACAGGCAGAGGGACAGACAAGCAGAGGGGAGTCAAGCAGAGGGACAGACAGGCAGAGGGGAGTCAGGCAGAGGGACGGTCAGGCAGAGGGACAGACAGGCAGAGGGACAGACAAGCAGAGGGACAGACAGGTAGAGGGACAGACAAGCAGAGGGGAGTCAGGCAGAGGGACAGTCAGGCAGAGGGACGGTCAGGCAGAGGGGAGTCAGGCAGAGGGGAGTCAGGCAGAGGGACGGTCAGGCAGAGGGACGGTCAGGCAGAGGGACAGACAAGCAGAGGGGAGTCAGGCAGAGGGGAGTCAGGCAGAGGGACAGTCAGGCAGAGGGGAGACAGGCAGAGGGACAGACAAGCAGAGGGGAGTCAGGCAGAGGGACAGACAAGCAGAGGGGAGTCAGGCAGAGGGACAGACAGGCAGAGGGACAGTCAGGCAGAGGGGATTCAGGCAGAGGGGAATCAGGCAGAGGGACAGTCGGGCAGATGGACAGTCAGGCAGAGGGGATTCAGGCAGAGGGACAGTCAGGCAGAAGGGAGTCAGGTTAGGGACAGACAGGCAGAGGGACAGACAGGCACTGAAGATGGGGATGAGCTGAAGGTAGAACGGTGGCCCGAAGGCCCCCAGCTCAGTAGGAGGAGGCAGAAATGACCAGAGATGATCTCAGGGGCCAGGCCCATGGTGGCAGGCCAGGGTAAGACCTGGGCAAGCAGTCTGGGTGCAGGGACCCCTGTGGGATTCGTGGGGGACCCTGTGGGGAAGAGGCTGGAAGGGCTCCTCCCTGTGGCATTCACACACCTCCTGCTGTGCCTTGGAGCCAGGCGTCGCCCCACCTGGGAAGGAAAGGAGCCGGGTCCCCAGGCAGGTACCTGAGAACAGTGTCCACCCCGAGGTGGGCGTCCTCCGTGGCCCACTGCTGACCCCGTGGCAAGCTGAGGAGTCATGCAGGGCCCAGGACTGTCCCTGTATGGGCCAGTGGTAGGGGTCCTGGCCGGGCAGGCAGTAGGCTGTCCCTCGCACCCCTCCCTGCGCGGGTGGGGAAAAGCCTCTGCCCTCCGTGAGTCAGCGAACAGCGGCTCCGCATCCCTGCACACTTTAGAAACAGGGTAAGGTGACCGGCGATGGCCGCACAGTCTGGCGACACTAAAGACCACTGAGCTGTGCACCTGACAGGGCGACCCGTGAGGTTTGTGAATTACAGCTCAACAAAGCTGTTACAGAAAAACCAAACCAAACAGGTTGCCGACCTGACCTGGTGCCCGTGTGCAGAGCCGGCCTTTAGCTTCCTTTCGGGGCCGGCCCCCTGCCAGCAGGGTCCCACCGGGGTCCCACCCAGGGCCCCACACTCTGCCCTTGTCATGGATGGGCCCCTCCTGTGAGCTTCTGACCCTGGTCATGAGCTCCCTGGGGAAGTGCACCTCCGTCTGCTACTCGGGACACGTCCTGCTCAGACCCCACACACTCAGGAGCTGCCCCTGGACCCAGTGCCCTGTGGCCCCATGGTTAGCAGCTGTGATGGGCCACCCGGTGTAACCTGTTGGTCTCAGGAGGTCCCTGCCCCAGCTCTGCCTCCTTCAGATGGCCAGGCCCTGGTTGGGAGGAGACTTTCGGAGATGGCCTCTCATCCCTCTCAGCGGCAGCTTTGGACGGTTCTGTGGGAGCGAAACATCCCAGGCCAGGTGCCTCTGCCCAGCACGCTTTCCGGCGGACTTCACGGCGACCAGAAAGGCTTTGTGCTCAGTATTGAGTCCCAAGTGGTCGGACTGCACTCTGGCAGGTCTCTTGCCGGGAGGTGCTGTCGCCAGTGGTCAGGAGCAGGGACTGAGCCCGAGGGTGTGGAGGGAGACCTTGTCCTGCCTCCCTGCCCCCCTGGACGTGCGCAGGGTGCTCTCTTCAAACCCCGTCGCTGCAAAGTGGCCGCCGACCTTTCCCAAGGCTGTTCCAGAAAGCAGCCTCACATGTAAGAGACCAAGGGGACGTCCCTTTCACTCCAGTCTGTCTGCTTCCTCAAGATGCCAGCCCCAGCCCAGGGAGGGTCGCACCCCCTGGTCTTCCTTGTCTTCTGACCTGGAGGGAGGGCTCGCCTTCAGCCCGAAGAGGCCTTCTGTGTCCACAGGCCGGGGAGGTGGGCCACGGCTACCCCCAGGCCGAGCTGGGGGCGGGCGGGGTTCCTTCCAGAAGTTTGTCCTTACTTGGGCTCTGCGCCCCCTCCCGGCAGGAGAGCCCATTCCTTGGGGGACAGACACCTGCTGTTCTCCTGGTCCTGTGCGATTCCAGGCAGGTAGCCATGGAGCAGGCAGAGGCTCTGCAAGGAGTGAGGAAGAGGAGGTGGTGTCAGCAGGCCCCCCTGTCCCCTCCTCTCGTCACAGCCTCTGCACTCACGCAGCCAGCTCTGCCATCCTGTCTGACAAGGGCAGGGCCTGGCCTGGGGTCGGCTCCTTTCTGTGTACGAACACGCCCGCGACGGCCAGTCCAGCTGCCAAGGGGACGTCCCCGAAGGGACGGTTGGTAAGAGCCCTGTGAGCCGGCCCCAGGCCCAGCACACTGGACGCGGCCCCTGGTCCCTCACCCAGCACGTGTCCGGCCAAGTTTCAATGAAAGAAAGGTGTCCCGTTCCCCTTACCGTGCCTTTGGCTTTGGCGTACTTTCCAAGTCCTGGAATGTGTTTTTGTGAAAAACTTCCTAGTACACTGCTGGTGGGAATGCAGACTGGGGCAGCCAGTGTGCAAAACACTATGGTGTTTCCTCAAAAAATTAAAAATGGAACTGCCATTTGACCCAGGGATCCCACTTCTAGGAATATACCCTAAGAAGCCTGAAACACCAATCAGAAAGAATATATGTACCCCTATGTTCTTAGCAGCACTATTTACAATAGCTGAGATCTTGAAACAGCCTAAGTGTCCATCAGTAGACGAATGGATAAAAAAGCAGTGGTACATGTACACAATGGAGTACTATGCAGTTGTAAAAAGGAGGATCTCTTGCCCTTTGAGATGACATGGAGGGATCTGGAGAATATTATGCTGAGCAAAATAAGCCAGAGAAAGACAAGTACCACATGATCTCACTTATTTGTGGAATATAATGAAAAAAAAATAAGATAAGATTGCACAAAATAGACCCAGAGACATAGAAGTAGGGATCAGACTGACAAACCTCAGAGGGTGGGGAATGGGGAGAGATACACCAAAGAACTTATGCATATAAGCATAACTGTTGGACGGAGACAACAATGCTTGAAAGGGGGACAGAAACTGGAGGAGGGTGTCATTGTGGGGGAAAAGGAGAAACATCTGTAACAAAAATAAATTAATTAAATTTAAAAAAACAACCAAAAAAAACTTCCTGGTGCAGAAGATTCAGAATGTACCGGTCCCGTTTCACCTGGTTCACCCCGTGGATGATCATTTATTGTGGGCGGGGCTGCCCTACGGGGGCCACACGCGTGTTCTGCTCGGGAGTGGTGCCCGGGGAGACTACGTGCGCGTGGTTAACTGCGCCTCTACGTCAGGGTTAGCCGGTGTGACCGATGCGGTTATACCGTGTGTCCCTGCAGGAGCTGGTCTGTGCCTGACACGTGATCACAGGCTCATGCCTGATGCTTTCTGTTTGTGAAAGTTCCTCCCTGTCTCATTCCTCACTGTTGGCTGCTTCCTCCTGGCCAGTCTGCACCCTCCCATCACCACTTGACAGGAGATTGGGGAACCTAGCTGATCAAGTGGGGTGCAGATAACAGACAAGGTAGATGAAGATGGTGAACTGGCCACGGATGGGAGCAATGGGTCATGATGTTGGCACGTTTCTGAGTTCCTGGCCCCTTGGGGACCAACAGTGCATTCCAAGTGGTTGAGTTTGCTGAAGACCACCCTCTGGGTAAGAGCACCTTCCTGCGTGTTCTCGGGTCTTTCGAAATACCAGCGTGTAGGTGGTTTTGACAAAGCAGGGTCTGAATTCGCAGTGCGCCGTCCCCCTGCTGATATTCAGACCAGAGGAGTCAGTCAGCTGGGCGGAAAACAGGGTTCTCAGCGTCCGCACACCCTCATTGACAGATGCCACGCGGTGTGTGCGCCTGTGTGCAGTGATGGTTTCGGGAGGATATCTAAGTGGGGGTGCATTTTCTTTCACACATCTGGGATGCTGTACAGACGACAGTAGTCCTTAGAGACCTTCGACCCCATTTGTTTACTTTATCATTGAAACCCTGAGGCCCAGAGAGACGGAAACAGAGGCAGAATTAGAACCCTGTGCTATGTGTTGATGTAATTATCCCTCTGAGCACCAGGTGGGGCTGTAACACCACCCGCAGATCTGACCTGGACTCCGCAGCCTGGGCGGGCTCGACTAGCTAAGAGCAGGTTGCCCTCTGACCAGCCACGCTGCCTAGTCCGGATGACAGCCTGTCCACACGGAGGCTTATTTCTTTCAGCGTTTACCACACCCAGGGGCAAACATATGTGTTAGAGCAGAATTGACATGTGCTGGGGTTTAAACTCCAGGGACAACACAGGTCTGGTCCCTAACGCACCCTGGCTGCCCCTTTCCTGTTCTCCTGTCTGGATGCCTCACCCCAGTCTTCCTAACGACCTCCGTCTGGGTAAGCGAGGTCTCGTCCCTTTGAAAACCATCCCCCCGAGAACCTGACGGCAGGTTTTGTTCGCAACATTGTTACAGCTGATTAGTCCGTGGTCTCTTTCCACCTGACCGCTGCTTCTTGAGGGCCAACATCTTAAGTGCTTCTGTGTTTGTAACAGGACAGTGTCTAGCTCAGGGCAAGCTTGGGAGTTAACTGGATGTGGAAATGGATGGATGGATGCGTGGGTTCTTAGATGGATAGAAGTGGGGAAGAGAAGTGAAAATGAGGAAAAAGAAAAGGAGAAATGGGAGCAGGAGTGAGGGGAAGAAAATGAATGGAAGGAAATATGGATGGAAGATGGATGGATGAATGGTGGATGGATGATGGATGGATGGACGGTGGATGGATGATGGGTGAATGGACGATGGATGGACGATGGATGGATGGATGATGGATGGACGATGGATGGATGGATGATGGATGAATGGACAATGGATGGATGATGGGTGAATGGACGATACATGGATGATGGGTGAATGGATGATGGATGGATGATGGATGGACAATGACTAGATTGATGAATGAGTTGGTGGATGAATGGATGGATGAGAATATGGGTGGATGTTGTATGAATGGGTGAATAGGTGGATGATGGATGGATGGATCGATGGATGGATGATGGATAGAATGATGATGGATGAATGGATGATAAAGGGATGGATGGATGATGACTGGATTGATGAATGAGTTGGTGCATGAATGGATGGATGAGAATATGGGCGGATGCTGTATGAATGGATGAATAGGTGATGATGGATGGAGGGATAAATGGATGGATGGATGGATGGATGGATGGATGGGTGGATGGAGGATGGATGGATGGATGATGGGTAGATGGATGGGTGGATGATGAAAGAACGCATGGGTGGATAGAAGGATAGAAGGATGGGTGTGGGGGGCTGATGGCTGGCTGGGTGGCTGTGTGGTCTATACTTTAGCTCTGGGACCTACAGACCAGCCACCTCACCCTCTCGTCTGTGTTCCTTCGTGCAGGTCGTGGGCATCTTCGCTGGATTTGGGCTCCTGCTCTTGGTGGCCTCGCCTTTCCTTCTCCTGGCCACTCCGTTTGTACTCTGCTGCAAGTGCAAGTGCAGCAGCGGCGACGACGACCCCCTGCCCACCTAGAGGACGGCACCACGAGGAGCAAGACCCCTGCCTCAAGCGTGGCTCTCCCCAACCCTCCCTCCGTCCCCCCCACTAAAGATCTTTCTTGCCTTATGTGCCCCACTGAGCTTCAGTGTCACGCTGGGTGCCGTGGTTTCAGGGACTGTCAGACGTTTGCCGGGGTCCCAGTGGAGTCCGCGAGCCTGGGGGAGTAGGACAAGCCCCGCAGACTCTGCCTCTGCAGACTTGGCAGGGGCAGTGCTGAGGGAAGGGCACTGTGGTTTCCTCCTGTGGTGACAGCCCAGGAAACATCCCAGGGCATCGGAGACCGGCTCCTGCAATGCTGTGGTCTCCTCGCCTCAAGGTGGCGCCATGTCGCTGAGAGAAGTCTCCTAAGGGTCCGACTCTTCAGACACACTCGATCCTTCCTACGAGGGAGAAGCACTCTGTTTAAGGACAGTTGGTTTTTACTACTAATGGCATTTAGGGAAATCCTTTTCAGAAGGCGGTTTTTTTCCTTTCCAGCGGAGTCGTGAAAAACCAAGGTGCATCTAAACCATCCTATGCCTTTGTGAAATGTGCGTTTTCAGGAATTGCGGCTCGGCATCCCCGGCCCGACCTGTTTCGGGAGGTTTGGAAAGCCTGCGCCCGCATGCTCTCCTGGACCCGCAAGGACTCGTGAGCGCCGGGTTGTGCAGGGCGCCCCCGTTCCCGTGCCCCCAGATGCGTTGAAAGGAGGTCACCGCCGTAGACTTGCCTCCTGTTCTTCTCTTTGCTGAGTCAGCTCAGCTCACGGGCTCCTCCCTTCTCGCCCAGGTATAGGCAGATTTTCTAATGTCTTCAGAAACCAAATGTTTCGCTCGGAAGTCGTCTTGCGGAAAGTCCCTATGGCTTGGACCCTTCGAGTGGACAGTAGGTGGAGAACAGGGCCCTTGAACCTCAGAGGTGGTCCCGGGGGCTGGGGAGGCACTTTCTGGGTTTTCCAATTTTTTTTTCCAGTGAGCTAGTTATTTTGCAGAGAACATCTCGCTTACAGAGCTGCAAGTCCTGACGCTAACCACTGGGCCCCACGGGCCGTGTGTGACCGTTCCCATGGCAGCAGAAGGCTTGGATCAGCGGCACACATGGGACCCCATCGATTAACTTTGAAAAGCGGGGACGTGTGTTCTTCACGGAGAGTTGACACGGCTTCTGGGGACTCATGGATGGCAGCAAACTCGGGACTCCTAAAACAGTGGGACGGCAGAGGAAGATTTAGTACAGGGGACTTTTACGCTGACTCAGCATCCGCAGACGACTCACCGGAAACGAACACCAACTTCGATCACAGCTGTTCGCTGGGGGGGTGCGTGGCCGTGGGGGTGTTTGTACCTTTCACCTGTGTGCTCCCCGGTCCTGGCTGACCTCTGCATGAAGCTCTTTAGTTCTTAGCGTTCCCCAGGTTAGAAAAAACGGGGTCACCTCCCTCTTCACCTCTAGAATTGATTTCCTTTAGGAGACAAGCCAACTGGGAGACCGCCTTTCGGGGTGAGGCCTGGGAGATGAGTCTTTGTAGTTGGAGGCGTGTGATAGAGCTTGGGGGTCTCTCCTGGGGGGCTCCATGGCCAAATCTGTGCCTTCGCCTCTGATATGCTTCCTAAGCACCTAGTCTGACCCCGCTGGGGACCCCAGAGACTGGGGGGCCGGCTGGAACCGAGGAGCACCGACTGGCTCTGAATTTCTGCACCAAGCAAGTCCCTTGGCTTCAGTGATGAAACTAAACCTGCCCGTCCCCCGGAGAGATACCAACCGGATTGCACTGAGGGCCTCACATGACCTTGCACGTCCTCTGCTGCGATGTCTTTCTGTCGGGAATACCCCCATTGTCCGTGGGGGTGCCCCACTAACCAGGCCTTGACGTAAATTGTTAAATATGTTGTTTTTCCTTTGATTAATTTTTTTTTGTAGAGAGAGAAGGGAGAGAGAGATAGAAATATCAATGTGAGAGGGAAACAATCGATCGGCTGCCTCCTGCACCCCCCGCCCCCCCGGGGATCGAGCCCACAACCCGGGCATGTGCCCTGCCCGGCAATTGAACTGGAACCTCTCAGTCCGTGGACGACGCTCAGTCCACTGAGCCACACCGGCCGGCGGCCTGACGTAAATTGTAAACGGAACGTGGGGAGATGGCCGCGTGCAGATTTAACCTCGCGTCGACCCCGGTGACACTTGGGGCGTTCTCCGCCTAGCGGTGGGACCCTTCCTGTCTTCAGCATAGTTTGTCGTAAGTGACAGGACATCCACTTTCACCGACGGTTTTCACGCTCACCCCTGGAAGCTCACGTGTGCGGACTCGCCTGCCGTCCTGGGGAGGAGGCGAGAAGAGCCGTCCAGACAGGCCGGGTCGGCGATGGAGGCCCCGCTGGCCCGAAGGTTGTCGAGTCCCTTTGGAAACCAACCACGTGGTGCGGTTGGACCGGCCGGGTCTGACCTCTCAGGCTGCCCTGTCGTGTCCTGCAGCCCAGCCCCTCCCGGGCCTGGTCACAGGAGCTGGGCCTTTGAGAAGGGAGCCCCTGTGAGTGTCCACGTAGCAGAGATGGAGCAGGATCTGAGCGCAGACAAGCTTCCTCAGCCCCCCAGTAGCTGCTGACCCACACTCGCCACTTCTGAGCGAAGGGGAACAAATCCTTCCTACCACGTCGGTTAGGAACCAGGCCGATTTCTGGTTGGAGTCCAAGGCTCGTGGGGAAAGGGGCTACTTACCAGATATGCGAGAAATACTTCCAGATGACTTAGTCTTGCTTTCACCTGGATTACAACAGTTGGAAGTCATCCCACTCACTAGAGGAGGTCCTGTCCCTTTGGTCGTCTTTAAAACCTTCGGGGACTAGACAGAACCAGGGTGAGCTCTGTGTATAGTTCTCAGATTCTCATCTAGTAATAAATACCCTTGTATATATGCGTACATGGTAGTGGATTTTTCAAGGGAAACCTTTTGCATGTATAAAGCTTCCTGGAGTTGTCATTAAAAAAATACCAAAGCTTGTTTATTCCTTACCACGAACCCCAGCCCTAATGGAAATAAAATGAGGAGAGTATGTCTGGTGTTGCCAAAAATGCCCCATGGAACACAGGGGTGGCGGTCACTTCGAACCGCTGGTGCATTGAGACCGGAGCGCGGGCGTCTGGGGAGGTCAAGCCGTGGTCCCCTCCCCTCCGTCTGTGCCACCCCGTCTTCCAGGGGTCCAGGAGCCTTCCGGGAGCGGTGGGTGCCTGCCACATGCCTGACTCCCCTTCCTTCTTTGCTCATTTTGCCGTGGGGGTATTTTAATCCTGCGTAGAGCATGCATGAGTGCGTCGCGCCCCGTCCACGTGAGGTGTTTGACAGGCGGTGGTAACCGAAACGCGCTAGGCTGTGTCTGAAGTGCTGCATTCGGTGCCGCGAACACTGTGATGTACAGAGGGGCTGTCTGAATGCCTTTTCCTGTCGTGTTTTGTACTTTGGAGTTCTACGGAGAAGTGTGATTTGTAATTTCAACACACATTTTAAATGTATGGTGTCTTACGGAGTTTGTCCCCCCCTTCGGAAGGGATTTCTTTTTAAAGATATTTTTGGCTGGAATACAGGTTCCTTTTGTAAATCCTGTCTGGGTGCATCTTTTGTACGTTCTTCGAGGATGGCTGGTCTGGAGACTGGAGCAGGGGGGAGGGTTGGAGGTGGACGGTGGACAGGAGACCTGGTGGGGTGGGGTGGGGGAGGAGCTTAAACCTGGTGGGGCCAGTGGGGCCTTAGACTTGGGGGTGGGGTGGGGCCTTAGACGGGGGTGGGGTGGGGCCTTAGACTTGGGGGTGGGGTGGGGCCATAGATGGGAGGTGGGGTCTTAGACCTGGGGGATGGGGTGAGGCCTTAGATCTGGGGGGCGGGTGGGGCCTTAGACCTGGGGAGCGAGTGGGGTCTTAGACCTGGGGGTGGAGCGGGGCCTTAGACCTGGGGGATGGGGCGGGGCCTTAGATCTGGGGGGCGGGTGGGGCCTTAGACCTGGGGGTGGGGTGGGGACTTAGACCTGGGGGGCGGGTGGGGTCTTAGATCTGGGGGCGGAGCTGGGCCTCTCACTACTGGGAAGCAGCTTCCCTTCCCTGATGTCCTGCCTCCCAGGCAGGTTCACCAGCCTAGCTCAGCCTGGTGAGTCCACACCCTCCTGCCTCCCTGTCGTCACCTCCTGGTACCAGCGCAGACATTGTCTCTGCATCGGGAAGTTCGCCTCCCTCCGCGAACACCAGAGCTTGCACACGTATCCAACCTCACAGGGACTTGCTTCTCATGAAACTGGGAGCGTTCTTTCCGCTGGGCGAACAAAGCAGGACAATACGGTGGCCTGACTCTCGTGGGCAGCCTCTGACGTGGTGGAGGAACACACACCTCATCCGCTAACAAGGGACACCGCAAAGGCCGCCCTGTACACACGCTCCTTAGACCTGGAGGTGCCGGTCGAGGGGGGCCCATGGTGTTCCTGGGCTTCACCCCTGAGCTCCTGGTCTGCAGGGCGGCCTGGCTGCAGAGAGCAGCCCATCGGGGTTGATCCCCTCTGCGGTGGGCACAGGACACGCTTTGGCCGGGACTGAGGTCAGGGGAGGCTGTGGGGTGACCTGGCGTGGAGGGGCCGGCAGACCATAGGTGCTAGCCAAGCAGAAATGAGGGTTTCCGTGTTCAGGGAACAGCCCGATCCAAGAAGTGCAAGGAGTCTGGTCTGCGCCCTCGTAATGTGATCATCTCCAAAGACCCTGTTCCCAGATCGGGCACTGTCACGGGCTGGGGACACAACTCAGCCGTAAGAGGGACCGTGTCTGGGGGGGACGTTCCTGCCCAAGCAAGGCCAGCCAGCGGAGGCAGACAGTACGGGGCGGGGTCCTGGGCTGGCGTCCAGATCTCTGTTGCTGAGGCTCCCCCACCACAAACTGGTTCTGGGCTCTCTGGTTGGACCTCAGTCCCGTGAGGGGGACAGCCCCAGAAACAATTCTGCTGAGGAAGCTTGAAAGCAAAA